AACACAAAGGTAATTATGATTTGTAAAGTTATTAATTAATATAATATAGGCTATAGTTATTCAAATATAATATATATAAATAATTAATTTAATTAATTCTTACATATTATATATAATTATGTTTTTAAACATATTTATTTTAAATTTTATATTAAATATAATAATATTTTAATTAATATATTATATTATATATATTAAATAAAAAAATAAACCAATTAATTAAAAAAAAAAAAGGTAAATGATGAAACGTTTGTTGTTGGTGATGCTGAGAGAGGTGAAACCATCACCGTCGTCGTCCAAAAGACATGATATATAATCTGAGATTTTTTTATCTAATCAAGTAATTCCTGGCCGCCCTCGACTGATATGTGGCTTCTGGTACGTCCATTTGCACTGTTATGGTAGCCGACTGTTTCAACATCGAATAAATTATTGGAAATCCGGTAGGAGTTTGGGACACGTGGAAGAAATGATGTTGTGTACCAACTTGAAAGAGGAGTCAGCACCATTCTATGATCAATCCTTCGTTTGTGCAACAACTTTATTAGAAAGATTATATATAACAAATGATTTAAGTGGTGCAATAATATTTTATTTTTAATATTTTTTTAATGAAAGTAAGTGTTATTGAATTCATTTCATGTATGTTGAGATTTTAGCTATGAGATGTGTTGCTGTCGTATATCGGAAAACATGATGAGCTCCCCACGCTATGGCAAAAAGCTGTTGTTTTATATTGTATTTTTTTTTTTATCTGGATTGCATAATGAAAGACAACTATTTTACATCCCTTATCTCATCTCATTTGCATATCATGTGATTTGAATTCAAAATATTTTATTTCGAGCGGAAAAAGATAATCATTAAATTATTTAAGTCATTAACTATTGTATCTAGTTAAAAATAAAACAAAGAAGAAGAATAAATTATTTAATTGATTATATTAAAATATTTTTAAAATATTATAACTTAATTAATTAAAAAATTCCTCCCTTTTCTCCGCTATTACCAACCCAAACTCAGTTAGGGTTTAAACCCCAGGCTCCCATTCCCCCTTCCTCTTATCGTGATTTAGAATATCCATGTTTAATTGCCATATTTTGAGAATAAAATTAAGGGCGGTGTTTTGTAGATAATTTTTTATATCATTTTTTTATATTTTTTTTATATATTGTTAAATAAATATATATATTTAATATCATGAATTTTATATAAATAAAAAAATTAATTATTTAAATAATATATTATATTATATTAAAAAATAAAATTCAAAAATTATCTCAAAATTATTTTCTTTTATTGTGTGCGGACCCATTGATTTGATGGAATAATTATTTTGGTCCATAATTAAGGTCTTCAATCTTTACACAATTCCGATGAAGTTTTCTGTGGATGGGCCTACTAGGATTTAGGACAGTTCACACGCAATGGGCTTCGGTGTTCAAATGAATTGGCTCTGATATAATAAAGACAAACCGCCTGTTACGTCGAAGGTTGAACAAATGAAAAACAGAAAGAAGTAGGAACTTCGGAGTTTAGAGCCCGTTTGGCAGGAACATTTTTATTGTTTAATAATTTTGATATAGGGTCCAGTTTAGAGGCTTAGACTCCTGAAATATCAACTAATTAATTTGAAATATGAAAAAAAAATGTTTTTTTTTTCTCTTAAATAAAAAGTTTATTGAAAGAAAATATTACTATTTTTTAGTATTTAAAATGTCTTTTAACTAAGTTTTAAAGATTTTTATAACTTTTTAAAAACTTATAAACAATTTAAATGTTAGAAAACAATATTTTTCTCTAACAAAATTTGAATACTTAAGATAAAAAATATGCCTACAAGTAATATATAAACCTCAAAATTAATTAATGTCTTCTTGAGCGATCTTACAAAGATTAGTTAAGCAATAAGCAAGCTAAGGTGGATATAGAACTTTGGTATTGGCTTATTCTCTCGGAGAAAAAAATAAATAAAAGGGGTTGGGACTGTCTATGTTTACATGTAGTATCTTCTATGGAGTCATGGAGATATATTTGTAAAAACCAAGTGAGCTCGTGAACAAGGGAACTCCATCCCATGCAAATATACCCTAAGTTGTCAAAACAATTATAAACAACACTTTCCAAAAAAACCAACTCAATTACTCTCTCAATTCTCCCAAATTCTCATTCTCCAAACAATAATTTTGGTATTAAAAAAGAATTTGTCTAATTTATATCCTAAGAATATTGGTTAAAGTACAATAAATATATTTTTTTATAATTAATTTATATAAAAAAATTATGACAATAAATATTTATTTTAACATCATTAATACGTGAATGATTTTAATTGGTTAAATGGTTAATTCAAAATCAACATTTACACTTTTCATGCAAATTAATTAAAAAAATACACATTAATTATATCCCTTGACCTATACCACAAAAACCCATTAACAAAATACCCAAACTCAGAAATCCCACACACCTCTCAGAATAGTTCGCATTCCCTCATACAATTCTATATTACCTCCTTAAAATAGGAACAAGGAAACAGACATTTGATCCCCATGTGCACTTCTGCCACTGCCTATCCAACTCACAAACCCTAATGAAGACAAACCCCAACCAATCCCCCCTTAAACCCCCTCTTACACAGATGTAGAACTTCGAAAATGCCAAAGCAAAACAATCTCACTTTCCCTCTGTTGATCTGCTAGCTCTAGAATTCCTCTGCATCTTTCTTTCTCTATCACATGCACCATAGAAAAACAATAATTAAGACAATCTTCAGCCCCTTTTTATGGAATTGTTTTGGTTGTTTTGGTTGGTACGACTTAAACTTATCAGTATGTGACACTACCTTCCATGCAAATTTATTGAAGCCTACAGCATGTTCCATCAAATTTCAATTTGAAGAATTATGGAGCATTCAATTGATTAGTATATGCATCACCTATATAAGGTTAGCTAGGGTTTGAATCATGAAGTGCAGATTAATTCTATACAGTTTATACTTTATTTCAATGGAAGAAGAAACAAAAACATGCGTAGATAACGCCTTGAAGTCATGATGCGATAATATTCGCTCTAGAATTAAATAGAGTTTTGTAATACGATTTGTAATACTTAAATACATTGATTCCCGGAGTTGGTGGCAGTTTTTTGGAGGGATTATGAAGAGAAGAGAGGAGAGAGAATGGTGGAGAAAAAGTGAATACAGAGAACTGAAGCAAATTGGACTTATGTGAACTAGAATAGGGAAACAGATCTCTGATGATGTGCTGATAATAAAAATAAAAAAATAAAAATAAAAAATAAAAAAAAAGGGAATCAATGTTGTGATGCATCTTACATGTCTTTGAATATCCACGTTCTTGTGTTAGTTAATTTTGTATGTCAGATAGAATGTCAGAACAGATTACTGAATGGGAAAAAGAGCTCATGACTCGCATTCCAATCCATGCAAATTTTGTCACAGTTTCTTCAACATCTTTAATTTACACCACACCCTGAGCAACATAATATTCACCTTGAACTTGATTCTAATTAAACATGACGTACTCCTTGCACATTAATTATGGTACCATCCAATGTCCATTGAGACGATTATTCTAACTTCTAAGTTTCTTTGTCTGTACAATTAATGGATGATATTTACTATAGCTACGTACGAGTCAAACTATGTGAAGCACATGTATTGTCAATCTCAATTTCCTAGTTAATTTCCAATGATAACAACAATGAAGCATACATTAGCTGTATATGTTTTCTTTTTCTGATAATATTGATATTGTTTTTGTTACACTCTGTGAATCATAAGGATCTAGATAGATCCCAATTCATCAAACTCAAACCAATGAGGTCCCTGGAGACCACTTGATCAACGGAAAGTAAAAGAAACTCAGGAAATGAAGTTGCAGAAAAGATAATACACACCATGGCTGCAGAAATTATTCTACCTTGGGACAGCAACCGCCCAGCCTGAGTTCAAGATCCAATTCATCACTTGAGCTAGGGCTCAGATCAATCACCTCTGATTGGAGTTGGTGCTTATCAAGTGAAATAGGCTTCAGGAAGAAAGGTAATGAAAATGCATCAGTTCTCCTTCTCTTACAGTCAACAATCTCCTCCTCATCACCACCAGACTGGGTTGAGCATGTTTGTCGTAGAACAAGATTCAAGCTTACAGATAAATTAGTTCGGACATAATCTGTCTTACATCCTGATTCTACTATTCTCAAATCCTTCTCACCTTCGCTCTTCATCAGATCAGAGAAATGGTCATATCTGTCAGCAACCAAGTTTGACCATGATTTAGGAGGAGGAGGGGATGACTTCTTTTGGTGTTCTTGGAGAATTGTTGAAGAAAAAGAAGGAATCAAGGTCTGTTGATAGGAGCTATTATCTTTAATAGATAAAGAAGCTGCGGCAATCCTAGAAGGTGAGGATTCAGAATTAGGGTTAGGGTTATAAACCAAGTTACAGACCTGAGAGTATGGGTGCTGATGAAACCCCGAAGATGCAAATGGATTTGGGGTGAGATGATTCCTATGATCTTGAAGATTTTGTTGAAGAATTTCAGATTGGGGACTTGGGGTTTGCTTTAACCTAGCTCTGTCCCTTCTGTGGACATTCATGTGACCCCCCAGAGCTTGAGCTGATCTAAACTCCCTCCTACAGAAACTGCAAGAATAAGACCTCGGAGGCCAGATGCATCCTCCAAGCGGCCCTGCTGCATCCTCTGCAAAAGCTTTCTCTTCCCATGAATCTCCATAAGCAGCTTGAGGATTGGAACTCAAACTATGTCCCCTCTTAGTCCACAGCCAACACCGTGCCTGCTCCATTATGAGGAGATGCAGGAGACACAATATATAATCCAAGAAACAAGAAGCAAGCAAGTCTTTTTATCTAAGTTTGGAGAGCTTAATAAAGGGAAACTACATGTTAGAAATCTAGGTCTGTATATTGCTTGGAGAGAGCTCTATGGAAGGTGAATTGGTGGGTACTCTACCTTTGCTAATTCATAAATTTATTTTTCTTTTGTTTCTTTTGATAACATCCAAAAAATGCAGTTGCCTTGCCTACAAAATTAGAGGTGTGGGTCCTAAGTTCGAGCTACTTTCAGTCATGCAGACTGCAGGACAAACTGTTATTGTCTGACTGAAATCTAGAGAAATTGAGAGGTGGCATTAATATGTGGTTCTTTGAATATCGGTTTAGATTAGATGTCTTTCTTTGGACATAATATTCTCTAATAATTATTAGTCTCACTGAAATCCGACCTTTACATCCAATGGTTCGACCCCAAATTTTAAGTGCTTGGATGAGGTGATAAAAGTTTCGAACTCTATTTACCATCGTAAATTCTACCAAAAGCGACTTAATAGCCGCACGCTTCATTTAAGGAGATAAAATGTTCACCCAGTTTGAGAATCGAATCTCCAATTATTAACAACTAATTCATACTAACTTTCTAACCATTACCTTTGTAAAAAAAAAAAATGATTGGTCTCACCATGTAAGATTATTGCTGGAAACCCAAGACTAAGGTTTAAGTGAGGAAAAAA